CATGTGAGCGGGGCTACCCGAAATCCAATTTTTTTGTAAATTTGTAATTACTCGAACAATTTTTCACATATAGACTTCTTTCTTTGTGCAAATTAAACTTAAGACTACATACTTTAATGCTGTATGTATAGAAAAAAATTATTTTTTTAGTATTAAAATGAAGTTTAATCGAAACATTCAACCAATTTTTCTTAATTTCATGACTACTGTATTCAACATATTTTCAAAACTATTGTTTACCATGTTAACAGCTGCATAAATGCTTGAAACTTTGAAAATAATCTTTTTTTAATATAACAATTAATGTTCGATGGCCCATTGACTTGAAAAAATATTCTATACATATGAAATTGACAGTGGGCGGGGGTACCCGCTGGGTGGGGCTACCCGACTCTCCCCAATACTTTTATCCGGTTCTCTAAACACTGATTGTTTCTCCTAATCTCTCCTCAGCAGATATTAAAATATCGAATAAATATAATAATATCCGCGAGTAAATTAATATCAAATCGGATGTAACTAATATTTCGGACATTCACCAAAGCGACAATGTCATTGTTGACATTCACCGAGGAAAGTCGACATTCTCTTGATTTCGGTCATTCACCGTAACATATACATACATAAACACACGTTGGCTACTTTGTCCTATAGAGCTATATAGGGGTTAGCAAGAATTACTGTATTGCATTTATGCAAGATCTTGAATCAATAGCTTTCAAAGTTCTAGCGTTTCACAATATGTGTAACTTAAAATTAATTTTTATTAACCATAAAGTAAAGGTTAATATTTTCTTATAGAAATTTACTAGGTATTGAAACATCATAGCATGCTTGTTAGTTCTTTGATATGAACTTGTGAATTTTAAAGGTAGTCAAAAGCATTTTTAATCAGATGTTAAAGCATACATTTTTCAAGCACTTTAAACAATTAGAAAAAAATCTCGGGCAAAAAACTCTTAGTAGTTGAAAGGCCTGTGATTGAAATAATTCATTTCTAGCAAAGAACTATTTCTGCCATGGTGGCCCGAAATTATTTTGGTATCGAACTTTGTTAAAACAAAATCAAACGTTTTAAAACAAAAATTTGACTACTACTTTGATTGATTGAGTAACTTTTCCACCAAGTATGGTGGAAAACGTTCTATTATCTTTTTACTCTTTTGTGAAGTCTTGCAGAATGAATATGAACTATTTTTATAGTTGAACTTCACGAAATTGTGAACTACTGGTGTATGTTTATTTCTTGACATAATCTTTTATTTTCACGATCAGAATTTTTTTTCTATATTTTATTACCCATTGAAAAATTCTACTTCCTCAGTAGAACTTCATATCTACACTATCGAGATATTTTTATTTCAATTCAAACTCTGGCGATATCGTCAACTCCATTAAAAGTCATGAATTACAGGTTACCATCAAAACTTGATGGATGCTTTCAACTCTTACTTCCACTAAGTCCGTCACGAGGGGAACTTTCATACGAAAGTTAAAGCCAAACGACCCAATTCCAATATCACTTTTCTTAAATTTGTGAGAGAAAGCTCTTTTGACAGGGGATTATGGACGCTTCGTTGGACTCTGGCGTGCGTGCACAGCATTTGTATCGAAGCATTGTTCCTTTTTTTCTTCTTTCTGCACTTTTTTTAAAGAAAACAGTGTAACTTCCGTTTTTATTTTTAAGTTCTTTCTTGTAGCTATTTTGCGGAACAGTGTAGGCATGAAAATATCCAAAAAAGAAGGTTTTGACAAATTATTCACGTCATGTTTTATCCTATTGTTTCCTTGTTGCAAAAATGACAAATTTAATTATAGAAAAAAAATAAGCTTTTGTTTTATTTTTCTTAAAATAGCACATTGTAGCGAAATTGTTCTATTTGTTTTGTTTCGTGAAAATGTAAAATCTCTTTCGAAACGTTGATCTTCGTTGTTTTATTGTATTCAAATCTACCGATATTGATGGAGATGCT